TTTTTTTTTTCTTTATCAAAAATATGAATTTTATAAACAGTATTGTATCTATTTTTAATTACAAATGTAAAAGTATTTACTTTTTTATTTTTTACAAATTGTTAAAACTTTTTAAACCGTTTTAAAATGTAACATTTATTTTAAACTTGTATTTATTTATTTGATTATTTTTTTTATTTTTTTTTGTGTGCTTTCCTGAAGTTCGAGCAGTAGAGCAATAGCGCTAGCAATGCCAAGATACTTGAACTGATAAAAATGTAGGTCTTTAATGCAGTGTACACTTCTTCAGATAAAAGTGTCTGCCAAATGCATAGATGTAAATGTAAATAATCTAACAAAGTAGTTGAAAACCTTATATGTGACCCTGGACCACAAAACCAGTCATAAGGGTCAATTTTTTGATATTGAGATTTACAGTATATTTACGGTAAGAAATTTACAAAATATCTTCATGGAACATGATCTGTACAAAATAAATAAATTCTATTATTATTATTTTGGGTCAGTGCAGCTGACCCAAAATATCCATGAATTAGTGGTCAAATTGACCTGCAAACATCATAATCGTAATAAAAATTTTGCATGTACATATGCACATTCCACAACTTTCCACAAAACTTAATGCGAATTTGTCATGAGAAATGAGGTTCTAGGTTAACCAGTATTTCCGACAGCTCAAATTTTTTTACGAGTCAAATTGACCCATAACAGATAATGCAATGTGTATGTATTCATGATGTAATGAGAAGTGACATTTTAAAAGAGATTTTCTGTCAAATTTAGGGCTTCACTGCATGTCATGGCTAACAATGACCTTTAGCCACATCTTTATTCACAATATATCATGGCCTCTTGTAACTTATGTCTATACATTTGTTAAAAACTTTGATGAAGTTACGGTGAATGTTTTCGTTATGTCGCTGTAATTATCTGTGCAGTTTTCAGAGCAGTTTAAAGAGTTTAAGGAGGCTGCACGACTCGTCCGGGATAAATCACAGGAGAAGTTTGAGCTGTTGAGTCCTGGCCTAAACATCTCTTCTCCACAGGTAAACACAGTAACTCGGATTTAACTTCAGATAAACCTTTTAGAATTGTGACTGAAAACAACAAGTATGACATGTAACAACTCATGTCATACTTTCTCAGCTGCTCGATTCAGATAACATGCCAGAGCATTTCATTCCATCACTATTAACCGCTCTAACAATAGCACAGAGGATCATCTGGCCTCTAGTGATATGATACCTAACACATGGTACAATGTATCAATTTTAATACCAGTCCCACAAGAGAAGTGTTCCACTGTGTTTATTGTTTTTCTGAATTCTTAGGAGGTGTGTGTGAGTAACAAAACATGCCCTCGCATGCCAGGAGGTGACACAGATACACTGGTTGTAACCCGTGTAGAGTTATGTAACTCTATGCGGTCACCCGGGGAATACAAAAGACTGGTTCATTTTACTTTACAGTTGGCTAACCTTTTTCATTCACCATTTGTGACACACTCATCCCTTAATTATCATGCCCATTATAGCAGCCTGAGAGTATTCCAAAGTCTGCTTACACATCAGATTAGGACATTGCTTTATATAATACATATTCTTTGGTTAAACCGCTCATTCCGGTTTGACTTGTTTGCCATGAGCTGTGCAGTGTATTTATTTAGTCAAAAACATAATTAATATTTATAATATTATATTATAATATTTCACCCACAAATCAAAAGAAATAAATCAGAAATTGTTACATTATATTACATTTAAATGTTATTAAATAAAATGTTATTATAATTACGGTAATGAGAAGCACCAGTGAGAACAATTGGGGTTTTGAGAAAAAATTCAATTCCCAGATGCATTATGGTAATGAGAATTTGGGGGGAAATGTTCATTTAAATCGATGGGGGAAAAAATTACAGTATTTTTAGACGGTAAAAGTCTTGTCTGGATGCTATATGGGATTGAGTATTTTGAGGAAAAATAAGCTTAATTTTTATTAAAATAATCTTACAATCCAAAATGTTTAATCCTTGTGCATCCTTAGAGACATTTTTTTGTCTTTTTAAATTTTTTTTTTGATAATTTTACATAATTACAGATTATAATGACTTATACTGTCTTTTTACGTGTTGCGAATAGTTACACTCAGGACTTTAAGGCAAAAATGTCCCCAATGAAATCCATTAAAATTGCAATATTTTATATCAGTGCCGTTTAGGCATAAAATCATGCATTCTTTGTTCATGGGCTTTTTTATAAATGTGAATTCTACATTTGTGAATACAAATGATGTATGTTTTTCATTAAAACAACAACAGTGCCATTATGTTAACAAACTGGCATTTAAGGGGATAGTTCACCCAAAAATGAAAATTACCCCATGATTTACTCAGCCTCAAGCCATCCTAGATGTGTAGGACTTTCTTCTTTCAGACGAATACAATCAGAGTTATATTAAAAAATGTCCTGGCTCTTCCAAGCTTTATAATGGCAGTGAATGGGGGTCGAGATTTTGAAGCCCAAAAAAGTGCATACATTCATCATAAAAAGTGCTCCACACGGCTCCGGGGGTTAATAAAGGCCTTCTGAAGTAAAGCAATGCATTTGTGTAAGAAAAACATCCATATTTATAAAGCTTGTAAGAGCCAGGAGATTTTTTTATATAAGTGAAACTATCTAGGTGAACTATCCCTTTAAAGGATTAAAATCCTAAAAAGAGAATACATTTTGTTAGTTATGATAAGGACTGATGTTGGTAAAAAGATCTATGTCAGTGAAAGTGGAAAAAATATTAATAAGGTATATAATATTTTTATGACAGTTTTTTGACATGGACATTTTTTGTTCTCTAAGGACACATAAGGGTTAAAGGGGTAGCTTACTGCCAGCAAGATTGTGTTTTAATGAAAGTTGGCTGTCTATGCAGTAGAAACACTAAAAAACAGGTAAAACAGAAAAATAATTGCTCATTTACTTCTACTACCAACACTATAACAAAACAAGGCTGGTTGAAAATCGACAAACTTACCGTTTAATAGTACTGTAAAATGCTTTGTGTTGTGTGCCCATACACAGTATTCTGTAGTGGTTTAATGGCCATGACAGGCTTTTCATCCCATGAGCTTTTTGCGTTCAAACGTGCCTTTCTAGAGCAAATGAAACAGGCCACAGACTGAGAGCTATTCATTATTTAATCAAACCTGAGTGTTCAGAGTTCAAAACAGCAACAGTGTGCACTGAATAATGCTGCCCTTATTAATTAATAAAGTGTTTTGGGGTCTTTTCGTGAGTCTAGGGGCGATGGGGGAAGAATAGAGGTATTATGTTTATGTAACAGCTATTTTAATAGTGAAACATCAATGAATGTCTCTCATACATCAAAGTCAGTCCGTTTTGTCACAGGTTTGAATCTTTTGCAAGAAAGTGTGTGTACTTGCCTGTGCAATAGGGCTGTGCGATTAATCGAAATCGAATCGAAATCGCGATTTGAGACGTTGCGATTTCCTAATCGCAAAGCCTGCGATATGGACGCGATATTACTAACAGACAACGAACAAAAAAGGTCATTTCCAAGCGCTGCGTCACAGCGCATATCAAAAGCTCCCGTATCGGTTCTGGTTTCAGTACTGGAGAATAAAAGATTCTTAGATGTTTTTGTTAGTATGTGAACGTTATCTTACACATTTTATCTCCACAACAGATTAATCTGAAATAAGTTTATGATGCATGTTGGCTATTCCCAATTCAGAAGAGCGCACACACAGCCTGTGTCTGTGAATGCTTCTCATACTCGCTCCTCTCTGCCCCATGCGGGTGAATGCTTCTCATACTCGCTCCTCTCTGCCTCACGCGGCGCGAATCCCGCGTCACGGATGTTCATGCTTGCCGCACTCACGCAGACTGTCTGGTAATGCTGGTTTATACTCGCACCCGGCTCCGCACCGCAAGTCTTCACGAGTGCATCTGGCAGTATGGGTGAGGCTTGACGCACGCACGCAACCTGTGTCGACTCGCGTCTGGCTCCGCGTTTAAAACGAATGTAAATCCAGTCTTAACTGCTTGCTAATTTCACTTGGATGAAATGAAACATTCAGCACATTTTCCACTTGTTCTTAAAATCCCAAATACTTCAAATGAATAAATCAGCCTATGTAACATATGTAATACTTTAATAATTGACTTAAGAAATACAGTTCTTTATTTATAAAAAATAAACAAATATTTTCTGTGAAATTCAGTAATTAAGTTAATTCTGTAAAAACCCAATTCTGAAAACCCAATAGAACCCCTCCCAAAACACAATAAAAAATGTAATGGATTTCAGGGTTATAATGGGAATTTGTTTGGTTTTAATGTAAACTATAATGGTGTCTATTTGATGGATTCTATTGGTGGGATGTAATCTGGCAGATGGCAACCAATAGAACAACAGTAATTCCTATTGGAATAATGCCCAATACAAAAAGGCATTTTGTAATGGTTTAATGGAAACTATAAGAATTTCTGTGATGGTTTCTATTGTTTTTTTTTCAGCAGGGTAATGATACCCATACTGTGCGGCACATTATTGGCAATATTGAGCTGAAGCTTGACTTTGCACATTTAAAATCGCAAATCAAATCGCAATCGCAATATCTGTCAAAAAAATCGCAATTTGATATTTTCCCCCAAATCGCACAGCCCTGCTGTGCAACACTTGCCACACTGATGTTTTTGGTCAAACTCTTTAAGTATGAGTGACAGTAATAGTAATTCATCAAATGCTTGTATCTTCTTTCTTTTCATGTCTCTTCGGTGGTGATGGGATTGTCTCTCTCTCAGCTGTCTCAGGTAAGCTGTCAAACTGCCTTCTACATCTGTTTCCACATACAATGACACACCTGTGTCTCCTGTGCAGCTGACACCATTCACTATTGTCACAGAGTTACTCAAACCCCCCAGGAAGCCCTGGATATGAAACACTGTCATGCAGGATGACATATTCCTGCTTTTGTCCCAGTTTGTACAGAAGCCATTTATGAAAACCTTACGGAATCAGAATTGGGAGTTGTGTGGCTTTTTTGGGGCCATCTGTATGCAAGTGTACTAATAAAATAACAATAAAATTAAAATGACTATTATCTTTGGCACATTTAAGACAGTCTTTTTTTTCTTGGGTAAATATATAAAGATTTATTCAAAAATATATTGATGTCGATCATCTTGAGCTCAGGGCCATATTCAGAAATGTGTCCAATCAAATGCTGTCAAGAATAATAAAGTCCCTCCCACTCAGGGTTGTTGTTGTTTTTGTTAAATGAAATAAAGCTGAAATAAATGAGTAATATTAGATGAAAATGTTAAACTTTTTGCCTTGGTAACTAACATTAAAATAAGTTGAAGTATTAAAAGTACTAATACTAAAACTGAAATAAAAATGAAGCTAAATAGAAATACTTTAAACAAAACTAATAAAAATGATAAAAGCATATAATAAAATCACAAAACCTAAACTAAGAAATACAAAAAAAACCCTATAAAATATAAGACAATATAAAAAATATGAAAACTGAAAATGTAAAAATATTAATAAATACTATAATAGTATAAAAATAATGATACAAAAATAAACTTTTCCCACGAATACCTCCTCCATCTAAACTGATTGGCTAAACTATTGGCTGTTTCACTAGAAACTTAAACTAAAATTTAAAATAAAAACAAAAACTGTAGGCGGCTCGTGGGCAGCGCGCCGACATGTAGCGCCTTTGCGCTTCGGGCGTCACGAGTTCGAGTCCCGCTCGTGGACCTTTCCCGATCCCACCCCTCTCTCTCTCTCACCCACTTCGCTTCCTGTCGACCTACTGTCCTATCTAAATTAAAGGCATAAAACGCCAAAAATAAATCTTAAAAAAATAAAAACTGTAAATATAAAAATAAAAGTACTAAAATAACACTACTCCCACTAATATTTCCTCCACTAACTAAACTGATTTCTTTTAAAATTGAAAACAATTTTAAATCATTAAAAAAAAGAAATAGGATGAGTCCTTCGGCATTCCCCGCTCCAACTTTCTTTTTCAATAATATTAAACTTATAATAATTTTATAGCTAATTTAAAGTAATAATAGATGCTAAAATAGTATATAAATACTAAAAGTACTAAAATATAAAATAAAGTAGCTACTAAATAGCACTACTCCCACTAATATATCCTTCACTAACTAGACTGATTTAATCTACAAAAAAAAAAAAAAGACGAGCCCTTCGTCATGTCCCGCTCCAACTTCCTGTTTCAGTAGCGCTCATCAAGCATGAGTCTCGAACGATATTTGGGGGAAGATTGAGGTGGTTTAATTTGAGCTCTTTCTAATAGTGTTGCTAAAGTCCAGTATAATTTTTCTACGGTTTGACATCGGCTCATGATAAGAGAGGAATGTTCTTGAAATCTGTAATCCCTCATTAAAAATGTAGAAATCTGCAAGATGCATTATTGAGCTCCCAAGCCGTTGACTATGCAGTGGAGATGTCGTGTCTTTGATTCCTCTCTAAATATATTAAACACATGGAAAGCTCCATCTCAAGTTCCCTACGCCTGCCACGAACCGCTATAGAGAAGGCAAACAAGTCATGGGCCTGAGTGCTCGGATTAGAAATAGAACGTCTTCGTTTGGGGAACGCCGAGTTTGAGATTGATGAATTATACAAGCTTTTCTGAGAGCAAGTGTGTATTGCTGCACAGAAACACTGTAGATGTTTAAAATGCCAAGGCTGCACTTGCTGCTATACAGTGTAAGCAGAAGAGCCGAGTTCTTTCAGAAGTACTGTTCTGGTTTTCTCAAGTCTACATGAACAGCAGGCTGAAGTAAACTGATGTCCTTTCAAATCTCAATCACAGAACAGCGCCATATGTTGCCTCATGCCCTGTTTAGTCACATCATGTGCAGACTGCTCAAGTGTTTCTTCATCAAACAAACAAACTGATATATTACATATTACATAATATAATTACAATAGAAAATAGTTATTTGAAACTGTAATACTATTTTACAATATTAGTGTTTTTACTATATTTTTGAGCACACAAATGCAGCCTTGGCGAGCATAAGAGACTTTAAAAACATGCAAAAATCGTAATATTGTCTATCATGTGTTTGTAATCCAGGTGCTGTCTGAGGACCGTCAGTCTCCTCCATTGCTTGGTGTCAATGGCTCCAGTGAGGACAAGTTGTTTCGCAGCAAGAGTGCTGATATGGAGGAATCCACGGAGAAAGAACAGATAAGGAAGATGCTTTCTGAAGGGTAAAACATTCAGATCTCCCCGATGCCTATCAAATCTCATCATCTAGTTTTCTTACACGCTAATTCATCACTTGGAGACAAACTGTTTAAAATTGTAATTATTTGATGTATTTCATCAATGTAAGCACTCTTGCTCGCTCAGATGCACGTGAATCTAATCAATCCGCCTGACGTACTTTTCCTCCGCAGTAGTTTTCTGGGGTAATTGGCAGTGAGTTTAACGTCAAATGTTTTACGGATTCAAGCATGAAGTACTTCACCATACAAACGCAGCACTGAATACTCTGATGTTGAAAACATCACAAAGAGACAGTGTTCAGGACGTCAATCAGCAAATGGCTTACTTACAAAAATAAGATGAGGTTAAAGAAGCTGTTAAAACATGCTTACCCTTTAAATCTGAAACCTAGCAAGGGACATCAGTAATCTTTAGCACACAGTCTGTTTCTGATTTACTTGTTCTAAAATATAAAGGTAACACAAAAGAAATGACATTTCATAACTCAGCCATATGTGCTGCGTTTAACATCTGCTGCCGTTGGAGTAAAATTCTTTGTCTTTGCCTCAGCTTCCAGAAGGAAGGATCTGAGTATAATTGAAACACAGATGTTGGTTTGTTCACAGGTCGATATGCGAGAGAAACTCAGAGGCTGAGCTGTTTTCTCTTCGGGACAGCAACACTAAGCTGGTAGCCGCTCTTCATGAAGCTAACAGCAGCATTGACCAATGGAAAAAACTATTAGCCGAGTATCAGGAAGAAACCGATCGCCTCCGAGAGCAGGTGAGGAACAATGAGGCCAATAAAAGACACTACAGCCTCTTAAAATTAAAACAGTCATTAATTTTTGCAGCGACGCCATAGAAGAACCATTTTAGGTTTGCCAAAATACTTTTCAGTTAATGTTTAAAAGAACCATTTTGTTCTTAATGTAAAGAATCTGAAGAACCTGTATTTTTAGGAGTGCAGGCAAAACCATTGTTTTTTCAGGCACTGCAGAGATTTTAGGCTATTTTGCTTCTATAACTTGTCTTCCTTCAGAAAACATTAAAAAAAAAACATTTAAGTGTTTATTTTATTATGTTTTATCTATTTAAATCTGTAGATTTCAGTTACAGTACAGTTTGAGCCAGAAATCTCCACTTCAGTAGCACTTACATACACCAAACATTCCAGTTTGATTTCTATTTAGATTCTAAAAGTTGATATATATATATATGTATATGTATGTGTGTATATATATATATATAAATGTCACTACACGCGCACACACACAGGTTTGTTTTTATGGTTTATGGGGACTCTCCATAGGCGTAATGGTTTTTATACTGTACAAACCGTATTTTCTATTGCCCTACACCAACCCTACCCCTAAACCTACCCCTCACAGGAAA